ATATAATGTTAAGTATATAAATTGAAGATAGTAAGGAGATAGAGAAGAGTAATAGTAATAATAGATAGAGTAATGGAATGAATTATGTAGTATATATATTAATAATATAGGTATAATTAAGGTAGAGAGAGGATGTAATCATAGAGTATAGATGTGGGTAGACCATATCAAGAATAGATACATAAGATACGAGACGCTCCTCAAGACGTAGACGCTAAGAAACTACTAACGACGAATACGATATCACCGACCGCTACCCCGCAGAGAGCCACGCCATAACGTAGTACGCTATCCTAATAATAGTAATGATATAGGAAAGGAGATAAATGAAGTTATATACCGCACCCCTACTCTGGTACCCATCACTCGCATACTACTAACTACTACTCACACACACACAACTCACACTATCATCAAGGAACATACCTCACTTATATAATAATATCATACAAAAACCCCTCACCACTCACCATCGCTCAACAACTGCTTAGCTCTGGCTCTCACCACTCGATACTCCGCTCCACGTCGCTACACTCGTCTCCGTATGTATTTATGGTCATCGGTCATGGGTAATGGTAACTAGATATGATCACTATGATATAGACTAACTTATAACGATAAGGTTAGCTCTAACATAACCTTATAAACATAGGTATGGTATGGTATGTATATATACTGGTATGGTATGGTATGTATGTATGTATTGTTAGGTATGTAATATTGGTATTATGTATATTCTGATATATGTATATGTATATATGATGTATAAGGTTTATGTATTAGTATAGTAATGGTATATTATATATATATTATATATATATATATATATATTATATATATATATACAGTTGGCCTTTAAGACCAATCTACTGGAATTACCACCAATGTATACCTGTGTGAAGTTAGTGATAGGTGTGCAGAGATTTTTTTTCACGTAACTAGGCTCAAAACCTGTGGCACAAGCACAAAGAGGTCCTTCTGGTGTTGATAAGCAGAGATCGTCACACATGAGACTATTGTCTGTGCACTCATTACTATCTGTAATAGAGTACGGAGTGTTTTATATTTTCCTGAAAACACTTTTTTTTTTTAATGGAAATTAAAATATCTAAGGAATCATTGAGTATCTCAAATATTGAAAAACACAAGCTTAGCCACATCTAAAAACCTTACTTTACATGACTGCAGGAATTAATCCCTTGACCCAATTAATAACGATTTTTTATGCTCAATATTATTTCACAAAAAACAAAAATAATAATAATAATGCAATATTCATGGAATATCATGCACAATCATCATTCTACTAAAATTCATATTTCCTATTATACTTCAACAAATGGAGATATACTTACCACTTTGACTAGTATTAGAGAAAACTTTCAGATCAAATATATAGGGGTTTTCAACCCTTAATTCAACAGGAGAATAGCGCTTGTCTAGACTGACTCTCTTGATCGTGCCATTCTGGAACTCTGACCAGTATATAAAGCCATTGTGGAAAGCCAATCCATAAGGATGGTTCAAAACATCACCTCGTAACATAACCTGTAATGGGACATATGGTAACGTACATATTTGGAAATATGTGAATGTATAGGCACAATATGATGTACTGAAATTATGAGGCACAAATCTTCTGGACTTTGGACTTTGCTGCACACAAATCCTCAGAAGCTTACTGTTTACTTACCTCTCTGTGATTCCCATCAAGTCCAATCCTTTCAATTCTGTTATGGAAACCATCACACCAATAGAGATATCGCTCATTAAAGTCTATCGTCAGACCATTGGGCCACTGCAATCCTGATGTTACAAATGGTTCCCTGTGTGTACCATCCATCCATGCTCGTTCAATTAATCCGTCCCCACCAGGAGGGACACCAGAGATGGTAAACTGCCACACAGTCCAGTACATATAACCTTCTGCTGGATTCAGAACTATGGCTCTGGCATTTGTTAAATTCCCATGAAGCAACATTTTCCGTTTTTCTGGATTCCTCATTGAACACACAAATATTGAAGATACTCCCTATAAAAGAAAGAGGGATTATCTTACAAATTATAAATCTCTGGAGCAATATTAGCTTTTCATTATAACTGAGTTCCTAAAACTACATACTAAAACAATAATTACTGTACTGCAAAAAGTTTTACTACCTCATCTGTCCAGTATATATTACGTCCCATCCAGTCCACAGCCAGCCCTTCAACATTTAGTAGAGCGGAGGTGACGACAGATTCTTTTTTGGTTCCATCAAGGCTCTGCCTCTCTATCACAAATCTTAAAAAAAAGAAGGAAAAGGTATCACACATTAAATAACTGTCACATACCTCAAACAGTACATTTTCTTTACCCTCTAAAGAACAAAACATATAACTTGACATACTCAGGTATGTACAGCATAGAGAGCAAAATTGGCAAGTCTTATAACATATAATTTTAACAAACTGTTTATCCATCCTGTACCCTGTGCTTTTCTGTACTATGGAAACATAATGCAGGTTAGCACTTTTCATTTCTCATTTCTTAATATTATAGAAATGGTTTACTTGAATCTGTTATCCATCAGGTAACAATATATCTCTCCTGCATATTTCAGAGAATTGGAAAATAACCACAATCATATGGAAATGCAAATATAACTTACATAATCTAGAAATCTTTCAAAATACAATGTCCTAGTGCATTTTTCCTTCCTTAACCCTCATACAGTAGATCTCCCTTTTTAAGAAGGAACTTCATATTGTGAAATTCTTATCCAATCTGGGACCAGTACATAAAACACATTAATTGTCTATTGTTGGAAGGCTATGGCACTTCTTACTTGGTGATTTAATTTTGCAAATTGTCATTGTTTTAAGTTTTCCATCAAGTGAAAGCTGGAGAAATTTGATTTCAATGTGTAAGTTAGTGAGAGAGCTAAAAAGTGTGTGAAGAATATGAGATTGAGAGAAAGTTAACAAAAATGAGAGTGAGCAATATTTAAAGAGAGAAAATGTGAGATAAAAAGATGAAAACACTGAGAAATAGATAAAGAAGTAAAGAGAAAGCAAATGAGAAAGTGGGGGTTAATGGTTAATGGTTACAAAGAAAATTAATTGTGCTAGACTTCAGAGGTCATATAGAACTATAGAAGGGTGTAAAACTGAAAAGGGTAAAGAGAGTGGTTAGTTGATGATTATGTGCTACACATCTGAAGTAATATGGCAATTCAAGAAGGTAGGAATTAACAAGGTTGATTTGATCAAAGTTGACAATGGAATTTGCAAGGATGTCCATAGGGTAAGTTAAGGATTGAATGTGGAATGTACGGTGCGTAAGCTATGATTGGAAGAAAGCCGGTTCCAGGGAGGATGCCATCTCCATGCAGCGAACTGTATTCCTGGCCAATGTGACTAGAGGCGCAGGTTATATTACGGAAAATTGAAAATTACGAAAAAATAAGATATATGACACAGATAACCAAATATTTTTTTTTATTGCACTGAGTTATTTACTACACAGAGAGATGATATATAAGCTATTACCATCTGGAAAAAGCACATCAAAAGACAAATATGGACACTGGAAAATGGCAAAAAAGCTAACTAAGCTTATGTAAAATAACTTTGTAAACAGGAGGCACAGTCCTGTCATCGCTCATAAGTGTTTGCACATACCCAGCCTACACACCTCATGCCCGGGATATTGGCCACTTATTAACCCACTGCCCTTATTTTTGGCACTGCAATTTCCATGACATAACCGGATCCAATGGGTTAAACAGCTATCAATATTCTTTAAAAAAGTAAAACATTGTACATTACTTTACTTGCTAATAAATATTATCTCAAAATCTTAAAAATTCATATACTAGTTTATTCTTGAATGGATATACTTTTAAAAAATCTCAATTTAAATTATGCCTTGTATTAATATTTCTACATCATTAAAAATAACTAGACAAACTTGCTGAACTATATTTTGTTGACTAATGCAAATTGAATTTTAGAATATCTATAGAAAATGCAGCCCAATTCTCAAACAATTTTTCCACCTTCAAACTATATAAAGAAAATAATAAAATGAAAGAACAAATTGATACCTACCTATCTTGTGTGAAAAATTTCAGAATTACTGGTACATAGCCATGTTTGGCATTACAGACAGGAAAACCAATAAGACATAGTTCTATACAGTCTCAGCAATAACTGAGAAGAGGTACTCAACATCCTGGGATTCTATTAAGACCAACAGACAAAGTAAAAAATGTTCCATACCTCCATCACTTTCATGTCTTTTACAATATCCATTCACAGCTGATTGCCAGTGTGGTACTAATCACCATGCTATATTTAACCCTGTCATTGAAGACAGCATGAAATAATTGCCATGTCTACTGTAATTTCAGTTTATTAAGAGGATTGTCTGCTTTTTTTTTAGATTTTTATGAAAATCACACCCTTTTATCTGATCCTTATGAGATCTCAAATATAATTTTTTTTTTAATCGCTCAAAAACTTTTTGAGCTATAGTCAAAAAAAAGAAAAAAAAGAAAAAACAAACATAGCATGAAAATGGACCAAACGGCGCAAATACAAAGAAAAAAATGTAAAGGCATTCTGACTGATTTTTTAAAAAAGTTCTTTCTAAATGTCGAGAATGTGTGTGACACTTTCTTCGATTTTGAATATTTTCCCTTGAAGCCTTTTAGTAATAAAAAAAAGCGTTATTTTCTTTATACGTCACTTTTACAAGAAGCACAGGGAAAAATTTTAAAAACTCTCCCACATTTTCCAGATATTTTAACTATCTACAAAATGAGCCATAATAGGTTTATTTTGGACTTAATTTGCGTTTGCTAGAGTTTTCAAAGCCAAAATAAGTATACTTTCGAAACAGCAGTCATTGTTGTTTTTTCTTTTTCATCTTTTTTTTGGTATGAACAATAATAGGTAGACAAAAAATCTTTTTACAAGGTAAGCCTCTATCATCTACGTCCATTCTGAAGTCTAGCGGGAATTTCCTAAACATAATAAATGTGTTCAAGCATTATAATGTGGAGGTAGGGTCCCACTGATTTGGGCCTATTTTGAAGGTAGATTGACCATTTTAGAAAATTTCTCTAAAATCCCCCCAAATAATAATAGACATTCTGATTTCATTTCTGAATAGAACATTTCTGAATAGCACATTTTTCAGTTTCGACCATTCACTTTTTTTGTGAACACTTTACGTAAATGACTTTTAGAGCACCATATACAAGAAGCACATTAAAAAATTGCAAAAACTAATTGCATCACTATATAGATCTACTACTCAGCTAAATATTGGCCATATTACTTTTCTTTTGAACTAAAAATGCGTGTGCTATGCATAAAAATGTAGTGCACAGAAGTATAGTGATTTTTTAAAACTTTATTTTTTACATTAAGGAAAACAATGCTACAAGAAAGAGTTGTATATGATAAAATCATCTATTATTTACCTTTACTGTTACTATAATGGAGTTTTACAACATAAAATACTGGTCTGAAATATCATAGTTCTCTGTGCCAGTGAACATCACACTCACAGGTCTGGACATGAGAGAAGGGGCTGTGTGCACATGTACCTGAGGCCAAAGTCCTCGCTGAAGTAAGTCTATGGGACGAAACACCCACCTTTCAAACCTCCATTCCCGTGAAATACAAATATGCAAATACAGAGTGGTGTAACAGTATACATACATATATATATATATATATATATATATATATATATATATATATATATTTATATAATATATATATATATTATATACATATATATAATATATATATATATATATATATATATATATACATATATATATATATATATATATATATATATATATATATATTATATATATATATATATATATATATATATATATATATATATATATATATATATATATATATATATATATATATATATATGTATATACATATAATTACTGTATTTCATGATCTTATATTTATATATATTTTTACCTCTGTCTGTTTGTGTGTTTATTTTTTTGTTACAAGGGTAACTGATAGAGTTATGAACAGATTTCATAGAGATTTTTGCCAGAGGAGTGTCTTAGCCTAACTTGGACACTGATACATTTTGGTGGTGATCTTGATCCAGGAATTTTTTTATTTAATTCAAAAAGTTATGTACAGAATGAGTAAAAACAAAATATATTCACAGCAATCATCCTTACCGCATCGAGTACATCACTCACTCAATGTACTTGCCTGGTGCTGAAATCCAATATGCACGAAAAGTAACTGTACCGCAATCCATTCCTTTTTCTTATTATTGAGCACAAAGTTGCTCTCAATTTGTTAATAGCTTCTGTCATGATTGGATTAACTGATTTTAACATCTTTGAATCCATCATAATTCACTACAATTTTCTCCCTATTAGTAAGTCAGTAACAGTGAATATCTAGATAGATCTCTAGAAATGAATTTTAATGTGAATCTATAAAGGAATGACTATAAAAATCAATGCAAATCAAACTCCAAAAATTATGCAGAAATTATCATGTGCTTTCCTGACATGGATGTATATGTCAAATATCACATTTACAATTACTGTACTGTAAAGTTCTAAACTCAGATATATAATATCTTTCTTATCATGGTTACTTAATAATCAAATCTGATTTTGTGGTATGATGATTAAATAACCTTAAAAGATATTCTGTAAATAAGAATTTGCAGCTCCATGAGACTACATCAAATATCTCTGATTTTCAAAGCACCTTCACTTATATTCATGAGGAACAACTTCATACTTACTGCAATCCTCAAAAAAACAGATTCACACAAGCAAATCTCAAAAAAGAAAAGGAAAACCACACTACAAAGCAGACATTTACCAGCACCCAAATTCTGTTCCATAACTTTTTTGTTTGGTCTTGACTGCACACATAGATGTTTCTCTTACCGTTCCACAAAGATGAGCATCAAAGCCAACAACAAATAATGATGAGATAAATATTAAAGCTATTTTTTCCTTTTAAACAAGTATAATACAGTTTCTCTGTGATGCCGGTGGGAGGGGCCCTCCCATCCCCATTTGGATGCCTGAGGTCACTGTCCCTTCGGTCCCCACCCCCCTGCACTCTACTGGAGAGGGCCCTACTAGCCATTAAATGATAGACACTTCTCCGTACATATTAGTATTAGTAATAGTAATCGTACTGTAATAGTAATAGTAACAGCACTAATAATAGTAATATGAACAGATAACCTCTCTGAAGAAATAGTAACGCAATAGAAGCTGATAACCGAGCGGCTTCAAAATCGGCACGTGGCCCGTGCTGGAATCGGAGCACAAGCTCCGATCCAGTGTCACACTGGCGGGACGCCCAGCAATGTTTTTTTTTTATATGTGGGACACCTATCGTAAATGGGTTAAATTAAGTGATGGTACAGTAAAAGGGAACAACTGGAAACAATGAAAACAGAAATAGAATCCTAATCATAGACCCCTGGTTTTCTGTATGCCATACAGGATAGAGTCCAAGTAGGACGAAGAGCAGAAAAATCTAAATTTAAAAAAGGGAAAGGAATCAAAAGGAAAAGGAAACATTCTTCAAAAAATGCAACCTACCCATGCATATTCCATAATAACATTATGACAAGAAATATGAAATGGTCTTAAATATCACTTACATTCTTCATAAAAATTTTCCTTTGATGCTATGTAAATAACTGAATTTTACTGTTGGTAACAGCTCACCCACCTACCAATACTTACATTAGCTGCTTTACATGTCTAAGCAATAACATATTCATTCTCCTAAATTCTAATATATATCTATAAACAAATAGGTCTTTATTCATATTTTATACATATATGTACATATTTACAAATACAAACATCTTTATTTTTTATCTAATTTGTGCAACTCTGAAAGGAAACATATTGAAAACTAATCACCAAATTGAAAAAAATGAATGAAGAAATATAAAATAGATTCCAATACAGGCCAACAATCACTTTTCTGGCAATGAGTTAATCAGCTTAATCAGTACTTCTGTCTTGAGAACAATTTCAAACAACTCATTGTTAACCTGCATCACGCTCTTCCTCTGATTTTGGCATTTCTACTGAAAATACTCATTCATCATTCGGTCCCAACTTTTTCAATAATTATCACTGTGAACCTTAATTCCAAAGCATTAGCGTCTATGTCTTGATCACTCCACCCTGCAATGTTCCTTTGGATACCTGCTTAAAACGAAATCTATTTCTCCTGTAGCATGATTATCCTCAGCTAAAAGATGATTAGCTTCAGTGTACCTTTAGTTATCAGCCTAAAACTAAATCTGACCAATTTGTAGCATAGATATCTTTAGCAAAAGGATGACTGACTTCAGTGTACCTTTGGATATCAGCATAGTAAATAAACTGTGTCCGGACGTCGTAGTCCAGGGTTGTAGGTCTTGTCAGGGAAGTGATGGGCACCATGACCTGAGACGACCCCACTTCATCTAGCGCAACGCCTTTGATCATTCCCGGCCGACCTTTTGCATAGATCAGGAAGGCTTCATGCTGACGTGCTGAAAAGCAGATGAATGTAAGTGATATCACAGTAATCTTCAGCATCGAAAGAATATTACAACAATTACTAGATACAATAATTACTCAAAATACTCAGTCTATGCTCTTCACATGATAAATAACATAAATGCTCGTACTTTAATTGTGTATGTATACGTATGTATTTATATATATTATTGTAATACATCATCAAGACATATAGATACACACACATATATATGTATATAAACATATGTGTGTGTGTGTGTGCGTGTGTGTGTGTGTGTGTGTGTGTGTGTGTGTGTGTGTGTGTGTGTGTGTGTGTGTGTGTGTGTGTGTGTGTGTGTGTGTGTGTGTGTGTGTGTGTGTGTGTGTGTGTGTGTGTGTGTGTGTGTGTGTGTGTGTGTGTGTGTGTGTGTGTGTGTGTGTGTGTGTGTGTGTGTGTGTGTGTGTGTGTGTGTGTGTGTGTGTGTGTGTGTGTGTGTGTGTGTGTGTGTGTGTGTATGTGTGTGTGTGTGTTGTGTGTGTGTGTGTGTATGTGTGTGTGTTGTGTGTGTGTATGTGTGTGTGTGTGTGTATGTGTGTGTGTGTGTGTGTGTGTGTGTGTGTGTGTGTGTGTGTGTGTGTGTGTGTGTGTGTGTGTGTGTGTGTGTGTGTGTGTGTATGTGTGTGTGTGTGTGTATGTGTGTGCGCCTGTGAACGCGAATGTATGCATGTGCACACATGCAAGTGAGCATGTGTGTGCATAAAACCACCTAAGCTCATCATCACATTATGACATGGATACATTCACACCATTTTCTTCAACCTCCCCCTCCCACTTCTGTCTAAGAACAGCAACGGGACTTGGGACCCGTTATGTGTGGTTATGAGGCTTTCAAAAAGGTATGAATGCTAAAATACTACACAGATCAACATAATAATGTGATAAATAATAGGATAAGAGAAATATAATAATAACATTACCTAGATTGATACTAACTCTCGTTTTCTTCTTCCAGAATGAGAGAATATTTTTTTCTTAGTATTAGAAAAATATAAACACAGTAATCTGCATGCAAAGATGAAATCAAACACAACCAATGTAAGAAAAGAACAGTAAATAATGATATTCTGAGTCAATCTAGGCTGTTTATCAAACAATAAAACCTTTTTTTTTTTAATGGGGTGACTAGTCTAATCTGACTCAAAATATCACAATTCACTGTTCCTTTCTTACCGTGCGTGCTTGTCATTTGCTTCCTGTTTTACGCCATTACTATCTTGTATTTAGAAATGATTGTATAATTAAGTGAATGCAATAACAAAAAAATTCTAACTTTTAAACTGTATAATATCAAAGATGAATAATTATAATTTTTGGAAGGTTATTTCTTTCCACATTCAAGCAATGGAAAACATCTTTATAAATTAGACTATCTTCATTTAAATATGTTTACAGATGGTACTTCTTTAAAGACCACAAACACTTAAAATGAAATTTATTTTACACTTCATTTACATTCAATGTCACTAATGATGAAACTAACAAAAAATATCAGTACTCATGATTCAAACAGATCAACAGAAATGAAAACATTAATTTTCATTTGTGACACAAACTCTTCCAGATTTTTTAAAATTAGGAAAATTGCCTGTTTTAATGACATTGTTCAGTTGCCATAATAGTTTTCATAATACTGTTAATAATGGTTATGATGAAAATCATGAGGACACTGGCTGTCAGTTACTAAGATTATTATAATTATCATTACCATTATCATCACATTATCAGTAAATCATAGTCATCTACTATACCTTAAAAAAATAGACCTGAAAAAGAATACTTATAATGATATTACTGTGCCAATGATAACGTTGATGCTGAAAATAATGATGATGAAAATAAAAATGATGACAGTGACAATGATGATGACAATGATAATGATAATGACAATGACAATGACAATGACGATAACAATAATGATGACGATGACCAAAATTATAAAATTATTATACTGATGGTAGGAACAGTGAAAACCCAAACAAAAATTAGATACATTGTTCTACAAGTTTTTGGATGACCATTGGTACTTGGTCCATCATACAATTCTTTAGAATCATAGAAAATCTGTTTTGTTAAAATTAATTATCTGTCCTAACAGAAAAAAAGAAATACTATATCATACCCCAGATGACCACACTGTATGTAATGAACTTTTCTTTATCATCTAAGAATACAATTAGATAATTTATGAACATACTTGTAAGTTTGCTTCCTCATATGTTCAGGGAATATCATAATGTTGTGTAAGCAAAATGCATGTATAAGAGATTTCAATCTAAAGGCTGACTGAAAAGCATTTTGTGGCTAGTATTTCATATCATGTATTTGAGTGTTGCGAGTCTTATGTCACTGGCCCCAAACCAAGAAAAATACACCTAAAATCCAGGTGGTTGGGCTAAGTTGTCATAAAAACTAGTTTGGATACAACTCTCAACCATGTCAGCAAAGGAGGATGTAACCTTAATAAACTACATAATGACAGTGCTTAACTGATTATGTCCAAAATTGCCAAAAATATCATCTCAATCAAGGTCAAACTCAAAGCATTTTCTATCCAAGCAACTTTAACCAAAATGTGGTTCCAAAGTTGAAATCTATCCATAATAATTAATGTATTTTTTCATTGTTGTTAATAAGGCAACTTTTATTACCTGTAGTGCTCTCCTTACAACATATTTCTCCAACCTCACATCTATTCAATAAAGGTCCTTACATCTACAACCAAAACTACCACAAGCCTATAAAATACAGCTTGTAAAATCAATATATAAATACACCAAAAATACATTACCTACACAGGAGCCCCCAGGGCCAAGAATGTGTCCTGGCTGACAGTGGCAAGAAGCTACAGCCTGACCTTTCCTCCACAAAGGGATACATATGTGCTGGCAGCCACCATTGGAGATACCACAGGGATGATGCACTACAGAAGAATATCATCAGTATTCACATATATGCAAACACCAAAATAATGATAAAGAAGTACATAAGAGATACATTATGACAATTTATAATAAACATTAAAACAAAAATTGACCTCCACCCTTATATCTATACCTATATTTAACTGTGTATTTATCTATTTATCTGAATATACAGTGTTATACATAGATGAATGTATTTAAGACCTTTCATTACAAGTATCTTATCCCATAGATGTTGTGAAAGCAAAAATGCTTACCATGTCTGCTACATTCTTTTCTCTTAATCAAATGTCTTACCACATAGCTGCCTCTGCAAGTGCTTAATCACCAAGGAGTCAATTACTTTTCCTACCTATCTCATCTGTTTACCCTTTTCCTTGTTTTTTAGAAAGAGTTTTTTTATCAATGCAATCAGTATTTCAATTAACATTATAATCATCACAATATAAATAATAGTAATAAAAACAACAATATTAGTATCATTAGAAAAAAACAATCCTAAAAACTCAAGGTAAGGAATAATCAAGCTATGTTGAGTGGGTCTACTAAATGGCTCCTTGGCAACTGAGTACTTGTGAAGACATCTCTCTGTATACATAATTCGCAGAAAAAAAACTATAGTGGACAATACATGTACCTAGCAGCGTTGTGCTAAAAATTCATCCTATATACTATCTTTAGGTTGGCTACACCTTACCTTCTGGCTGTCGTTGGCGATGAAAGACGTGAACGTGCATTGGCTCAGGTATGTCAGTGTGGAAAGTAGTAACGTTGTGGTTGTTGAACCTATTGACCACTTTGATGCTATTGTCCTTCCAGCTTGTTACAAAGAGAGAATTCTCAAAGACTGAGATGCCAAATGGTCTTTCATCCTTGAAGGAAAAAAAGGATTGGTTTTATAAGTTTTCTAGAACTAACAATACATATGGAAAGACAGTTTGGTGACTGATGTGTTTTCACTAGTTCATATAAAAAGATGTA